AAACAAAAGGCTGTAAATAAAACTAGCATGCAACAAGTGAGTTAATGCATTAATATGAAAGCACCTGCAGTACTTAGGCAAAAATTAACATTCAGCTCGCAATAATAAATAATAATTTGTTAGTTGCGTTGCACAAATACACATTTAACATGGATATTTATTACAGCTTACTGACAAACCTGGAGGGAATGTCCATATGATTAAATACTGTGCCTCGACTAAGACTGCTAACGCTTAGGTTACCCAGACTAGTACACTATCTGAAATTAATAGCAGCAATTTTATTTAATGAAGATTCACTTACAAAAAATTTTATAAAAATCGACACTGTCACATTAATAAAAATAAAGAACCAGTGTATTTTTTTAAATTTTTGTTCTACTTGTTCCCATTTTACGGCCCCACTGTGTATTCGATTTACCATACCTTTGAATTGTTTAGATGTAAATTCATTGTTATCTGCGGGAATTTATTGATGAAGTACAACTCCTCGATTTCCTGATGACTATTAATAATGGACAGGTTTCGTCTTCCGGCAATTTCCGTTATCATCAGGTCAACTCAATAATAAACCCTTTACCACAAAGGGTTATCTACTATGGCCACCCCTTAACCTGGGAAACAATAACGCAATTATGTAAATTATTTGAGGAGTATAGAATGACGCCGCTACTTCCTGCGTCCACCGGAAGTGGGTAGTTCTGACCGTGTGGCCCACACGTGACAATAACACGCTCCTGCTGTGATGTCGTGGGACGTACTTATAATTTAATATTCGCATATTATGAATTTTTACTAATCGGAAGCACTTTTTTCTATAAGAAAAAAAACACTGATATTCTACATTTCTTGAAATATGTTATGTATTTTAATGATTCAGCGACTAATGTGTAAATATTAGCGCAGTGTGTTTTATTCCTTCAAGATCATCAAGTGCTATTCAGTGCGTTTTGTGAGTTAATTACCTGTTTTACAATATGTAAAATGTGAAGAGATTCTTCACATCAGCAGTTAGACCCTTTTAAAACAACATGAATGAATTCATGTCGTAAAATTACACGAATATGGAGAATATTATACAGCAATTTCCCTAAAAACACAAAGAAATTTATCTGTGTTTCTGTGAAGCTAAACCAAATTGGATGCGAATACAGACTGTATACGTACCTTACCTTACATCCACGGATTCCATTACTTCAGTCCTTTGTGATGCGTTCTGCTACTTTTGTGGAGTTTTAATATACAAATGAGAATAAAGGATGCGCAATCTGTAGTTTTATTTTAGGTGTCATACCAAACTGAGGCGGGTCGTAATGATACAAGGTATACATATCTAATGCCACTCCGTCACCCCTACTGCAGATTTAAACTAGTTTGAATGTTCAGAGTCACGTTGTGCTTGTGCCATAAGCTGTTTCGCTGCATTATCTTTAAGGGTTGCTAAGGGCTATTTTACAAAACAAAAAGATAACAGTGATCCAGATATTATTCTGATACCAAAATGATTTTTTTAAGGCTAATGCTTAATCAGGGACGAATAATTTCACGATAAATAATTTTGATGTATTACCTCAACACTTGAAGCTTTGTGGCCAAATGGTTAATAGTTGATTTGTTGACGTAAAATACAGATTTTACAAAATTTTAACAAAGTAAGCCATTTCTTCTACATCTTTTATAACTTGTGCAATATCAACATCTAGTTGTTCCTTCCTCTCACGACTCTCAGTTTGCGCATTTATTTCCGTCTCACAACCTAGTGAACTGATTATTTTTAAATTGCGAAGATTACAGAATACTGTTCAAAGTTGGTCAACTCATCCTCTCTAAAAAATTTTCATCTTAGTTTTTTGTAAAATAAATCTTTCTTGAAATATACGCCGTATGTCATGTTCCGTTTGATTTAGTCACACCCCCTTACCAATAGTTTAAGAGTTTATATACGGGCTATTCTAAAAGTAAACACGTAGAACAAATTTTGCAATTTACCTAAGAAACTAAAAACATACTTCTTTGAAATATCGGGAACATATGATTTATTGATTAACCATTAACCAAATTTCGTTTATTTACTCCTTCCTTTGATATCATCTTAAAAAATTATAAGATAAATATTTACCATACGCCTCTAAATGGCGTGTTCCTTATGCCTATGATTAGGTTTACATAAAATGATGCTTAAACTTTTTTAACAGGTACTTATCAGGAAGCCAATCAAACTGGCAACACTGTAAGACCACTGTGGATACCGACTTTGGTGTGTACATTTAAATGTATGTTAAAACAATCATGCCCACTAAGGGCCGAATTCTGTAAAGTATAAAGGCACTTTGGTAAAAGGATTGTCCTTTATATAAAGATAGGACCCTTATAGATCCGTTGCATAAAGGTGAAGTCCTTTATAGTTTCCCTTGTGCAACGGATGGTCATATGTGTCACTTTATGCAAATTATCTGTCAGTTTCATTAGTTTTATATAGTGACCGTTTCTAAATAAAAGGGAAGAAATGGAGAATCTGTGATTATTTATCCTAGAGGAATTACAATAAAGGTTTATATGAGTCAGAACAATGATGTCTTTGTCCAGTTTTATAGTTTCATGGTTTAATTTGTTAATGTTAGCAAAAAGCACTAAAATCGTCATATTAAAGTTAATTAAGCCCAATTTGGTGGAAATACAAATACTTTTACGATGCTCCAAATAGACTAGTAACTAATAAACAACTTTGCAAAAACAACTCCTGTGGAGGAGCCTTTACTTATAAAAGACCAAAAAATCCATTAAAGGCCAGACTCCCCTGACCAGTTGCCACTCCAGTGTGTTGGTACATAAGGGGCCAGTGCTGATATCTCCAAAAATGTACATGATTTCATAAAATGTTTATTTTTTTTTTTAAGTTTTTTAAATGTGTTACCATCATCACGAACCAACCTACGAGCAAATAAATAATACTTTTACTGTATGTCAGGCACAAAGACCACGACAAGAATTTCATATCTCATAAATTAACAAAATTTAAGTTTAAAAATCTCTCCAGCCCGTCACACCAACCATACCGATATTGTGAAAATTTGAGGTTATGTACAATAGATTTCGTCTCTCTTGACACAATGATAAACGCAAGCGTTCCTTTTCTAAAAGCGTATACTATCGTAGTAAAAACATCCGTTCGTTCCTTTACATAAAGTCGAACTGACGCACAAGTTTCTCCCCAACGGATGCAATAGAGGATAAGATATTAAAGGATTCACTTTCACATTTCCTTTAGGCTAATGCCTTTAACAAACGGATCCCTTATTAAAAGGTTAAGTTACAGAATTCGGGCCTAAGTTGGTACGTTATTATGAAACCCTTTAAAATTTAAAATTTATTCATCAAATATGAAGGGATGAAAGCTCTAAACACCAGCCTTTTTAATTAACTGTTCTTCCCCTTCCAGTGGCTGCATTCAAATGCAGCTCTCCTAATGCAATTAAGGGCCGAATTCTGTATCTTAACCTTTTAATAAAGGATCCGTTCGTTAAAGGCTTTGCCGTAAAGGAAATGTGAAAGTGAATCCTTTAAAACCTTATTCTCTATTGCATCCGTTGCGGAGAAACTTGTGCGTTAGTTCGACTTTATGTAAAGGAACGGACGGATGTTTTTAGTACGATAGTATATGCTTTTAGAAAAGGAACGCTAGTGTTTACCATTGTGTCAAGAGAGACGGAATATATTGTACATAACCTCAAATTTTGACAATATCGGTATGGTTGGTGTGACGGGCTCGGGAGATTTTTAAACTTAACTTTTGTTAATTTATGAGATATGTAATTATTGTCGTGGTCTTTGTGCCTGACATATAGTAAAAATATGAGGAGTATTTATTTGCTCGTAGGATGGTTCGTGATGATGGTAACATTAAAAACTTAAAAAAATTAAACATTTTATGAAATCATGCACATTTTTGGAGATATCAGCACTGGCCCCTTATGTCAGTGTGGTCAGGGGAGTCTGGCCTTTAATGGATCTTTTGGTCTTTTATAAGTAAAGACCCCTCCAAAGGAGTTGTTTTTGCAAAGTTGTTTATTGGTTACCAGTCTATTTGGAGCATCGTAAAAGTATTTGTATATATTTCCACCAAAATGGGCTTAATTAACTTTAATATGACGATTTTTAGTGCTTTTTGCTAATATTAATAAACTTAAACCATGAAACTATAAAACTGGACAAAGACATCATTGTTCTGACTCATACATATATACCTTTATTGTAATTTCTCTACGATAAATAATCACAGATCCTCCATTTCTTCCCTTTTATTTAGAAACGGTCACTATATAAAACTAATGAAACTGACAGATAATTTGCATAAAGTGACACATATGACCATACGTTGCACAAGGGAAACTATAAAGGACTTCACCTTTATGCAACGGATCTATAAGGGTCCTTTACGTTTTAGAGAATAGGAATATCTTTATGTAAAGGACAATCCTTTTACCAAAGTGCCTTTATACTTTACAGAATTCGGCCCTAAGACACTTCTAAAAAATGTACTCACTCTCATAAAATAATAGAAGCATTTATGAAAAGCTTGTAGGTAATTAAATTTTTTTAATAACTCAAAATTACATAACACAAGATATACATAAAATTTTTCGGTTTCTGAAACAGCATCGCATCTAAGTCAAGCATGTAATAGTAAATTTTCATTAATTCTCAATAACTTAAATCGAATTTTAATTTTAAAACGAATTTTCCACAGTATAAGTTATTTTTTGATTTATACGTTATGGACTGATGATTTACTGAAATTCACTCGGAAATATAACATCAGTCTCGCGGTCTTTTAACGTACTTTCTTAGCTCTGATAACAACACCTTAAGATTATTAAGGAAAATACACACAATATGTTTTTACGGCAACTGCACCCTGTATCAATAGCGTAAGTGTTTCAACAAGTGGAGAATTTCTCATCGCAGTGTTATTTTTGGATAAAAGCAGAAAAACAAAGTCGCGCAATTTATAAAAATATAAGTATTTATTGTTTTTGGATTAAGGAGCACTACACTACATGGGTATAGTAATCTTATTTTATACCTAACCATCTATAATACAATCATTTTAGACATCTTATGGCTAATAATGTGAATTGTCCAAATATCTTTGACGAAAAAAAATATATTCACATTATTATCACAATCAAGAAGAGCAGTTTCCGTCGACTTTATCAAGTTTGAAAAACCTAAAATGACTGTAAGTGTATAAACAAAAATAAAACTTCCTAATTCCCTTGGAATGCAACTGCAGAATTAAGTAAACATACATTTTCCAGATTAAATATCATTTGAGTAAGTACATGTTATTAACATAGGGCAGTGTTAACGCATTTTTAAAACAAAATTGTACACTTTATTATGGCAAATTACTAATTTACTGAATATGTATTCAGCTCTTACGGCCACAATAAATGATACATCATGAAAGTAATTAAATTTAAATTACAGCATCTTTTGCTGTTAAAATGCAGTAAGTTTAGTAAAATGCACTTCGGAATATTACAGCTACATATAGAGCGTGGGTTTTTATTAAAATTGCTTTAATTTAAATTACACTACAATAATAATTAATTTGATTAGTTGGATTTCTCGGAACAAATATTGACAAATAAATTGACAATGTAAAAACTGTTCAGAAAAACGTCCCACATCAAAAAAAAAGTGAAATTAACCTCCGAATATTTCAATTAGTTAATTTTAAAAATTCGGAAAAGAGATCCTTGATTCGTAAATCAACACTCCATATTATTACAAACGTAAGTTAACACAAAACAATTCGAGAAATTACACAATATGACAACGAACAATGGCAAAATTCTGTTCCATTAAATAAAGAGCAAGAGTTATTAAGGCACACAATCTATGTAAAAATTACCTACTTATATTCAACTTTGGATGGAATGTGTCCACAACCTTTAAATTTACATATTGTACTAGTTGACATGCAAAAAATATTTAATTGAAGCAAAATTTTATTTCATTTTTACTTTTTTTTAAAGAATAATCTTTATATCTACGTGTAAATATTTACACTTGAATAAATTAAAACCGATAAAATATCATAAATAATCACACTAAACTGACGAAAATTTTGTATCTAAGTTTTCCAATATCAATAAAACTACCTTAACACGTGCCAACCACATAAAAATCGAATATTTGTCTTATCTGTGTACATAATGACGATAGCTGAATTTTTTTATAAGTGAAATGTTAAATGGCGATACTATAGGCACTTAAAACTGTAGAAGATCAACATGTCCGCAACAGCAATAATATGTCATGTCTTGTAATCAATATTACAATGTTTGATAAAGAGTGGAGCTTCTAGTGTCATCTGAAAATTTTGTCATTAAGTTTAATTTCGAACGAGATTTTTCTTCAAAGCCATAAACATTATTGCTAGGACATCAATAACTCGATGCTGACATGATTTAATAAATCATAAATCAGTGACTGGTCCTGACAAGGTGACCCTTGGAAGAGCCTGTGAAATCGACGATGTAGTTGTCACTGAAATGGAATCAGCTGAATTTGTTTTACCATCTTCAGAAACGTCTGACGGGCAAATGTCATTTCGTCTCAAAATGCTTGACAATTTCTTATCCAGCCTGGCAAAAATTAAAATCAGTTTCATATTAGCAGAAAACGCTACGGGGTTTCGTAAGTGCAATAAAAGTTCCATGATAATCTTTACAAAAAAGATATTTACACGGAACATGAATTTTTATAAATCGATAAACCGATATTTGTAAACATTGATAATTTAAATTAATGGAATACGAGCCAAACACATTATCCTAATACAAGGGATGTGAATAGCAATGGAAAGTTAGCTAAATGGGAAAAAAATCTTACCATGAGATTATCTCAAAATTTGCTTCATGACTAACAAAATACTGTTAATGTGAAAGATATGACGGTATATAATTTTCTACTTACTGTAATAACTTCTGATCAGCTTCTTCCTTCTTCGCACGAGTTTCTTGAAGTTCTCTCCTCAAAACCAATGCTTCTCTTTCTAATTCTAAAACCTGGCGGGCCGTACTTGCACCGTCTTCTGTTACCTGTTCTTCACTTTCTTCAGATCTGGAAAAAAACATAAGTGCAGGCCTTTTTATGTCTGCTTTTATTCTTTAGGATAGATTCGGTCAAGTCGTTGTTGTTTAATATGCCGAGTGATCAATAAAAGAAGTGTTTCCGTTTCCATTTGTCTATCCGTTGGCAATTTTGTTAGACAAACATTTTGATCTTTCAAAATCGCCTTAAAAGAACAAATTAATGATGTATAAAATCGACTTATTTTATTATGTATTTTAGGTTATCCACCTAATTTCCTTCGATTTTTGTATAGAATAAATTCATCCTAATTAAAAAAAAAAAATCATAATGAGCATTAAAAAAAAATGATTAGTTAACTTTTCATTGAAAAATGTAAGTGCTATTTATTGTACAGTTACGAATTAAACCCATCCGACGCCTATGGGTTTTTTAGTATGTACGCCGATGACCGGACTCCAGAACAACCTCGAAGGCGGCGTTCGCGAATTCTCTAGAAGAACGCATCGCGGTTTAAATAGGGACCACCGTCGGGAACCACAGTCGAATCCAGTCAATGAGAATATATAGTCTAGTCAAATCAACTCCCGTCGAGTCGGAATTATTCCATACATAATCGCCGTCGTGTAAATTAGTACTACCGAGAAATAAGTTTTTACCCACGCCGATTTTAATTACCGATCATCGTAACAGTACTTTATATGCGAGGATAGTTTTTTATAAGTTTTACAGATTATTTTTGCTTTTTTTTAAATACCTCTTCTGAAATTTTTTTAACTTCAAAAATTCTGAAATGAATTAATCTAAAAAATATGTAACACAGAATTAAAGTAGCAAACAGGTAAGCTACAAAAAAGTCAAAATAATGACACATTATTTTTTAAGTTCAGTTTTAAAGTGGGGACAAAAAGTTTTCTAACTTTGTTTCTGCATCACTAGATGGCATATGTATACGATAAACGTTCTATTAAAATATTTCATTTAACAAGACTTAATAAGACTCTGAAGCAGTTACATCCTTTTCCTTAATAGAAAAATTGCCTTTGGCAAATTCATTCGAAGTTAATTTTGTAAATCGTCTTTGAAAAACAAAAACCTTCCCAAAGCCAAGTTTTTGCTGTCCATTACGTCACTTTGATTACGTAGGAACGTAGGTCGTCTCTTAAAACATACAACTTCTATTATGGCGGATTGCCTACAGTCTGGCATTTTAACATAACCTAAGTTGTACTTTGTTGCCATTTTCGCAAATTAAAGCTACGACCTACTTTTCAGCCGAATTTATTGTGTTATCAACAAATTCTTCTGTGACGAGATCAGAATATAAAATTACTCGGTACATTTTACATTCAATAAAACAGAGAACATGCTAGGCTTTCATGTTTTCTCGACCCCCATATCCGTCGTCACCTCAAAATTTTACATGATAAAAATGTTAAGTTTTATATTGAAAATAATATACTTCTGTACTTGTGGCCTATGAATCCGCTTTGATTATTTACTCTACCCATCCAGATTTTCGTAAAAACATCAAACTGTAATAACTTTTTATAAAATATAAGAGGAATGCCCGATAATTTCGTGCTCACAACGTGAAAGTCGCAGGTTAAAGCCCCTCATGGACCAGTTGTATAACTAACTGTTAATTTATTTTTGTAACTTCGATATCAATGTAATATCCTACTAAAATTTCGAAAAAATCTGATATATACACTCTAAAATTGGATAGCACAAACTTTTTTTTAAACACCCCATATATGTAATAGTTTATTGTGCAGCGGACTTTACTTAACAATACGATTCCAGTTATCATTTTTCGCTTTTTGACAAATTAAATCATCCAAGCAATGTGTGTTTTACGTCAATATATTTACAGATTTACAAAGCGAGCTTTTTTAATTAAAATTGATCATCGTTAGGGAAACTATGACGTTATTTGGACTAAACCGATCACATTTTTCGATTTGTGTGTAAAGAAAATGTCGTTTGATTGGTTCATGACATTCGTTTCGCTTCGCCCATGACGTCAAAAATTTCTAAGGGAGAAAAGTAAAACCGATAAAAAATGCAATTTATGCAATTTTCACTGGTGCTCTTGCACAATGATTCTTAACGTTGTAATTACGTACTGCTTAAAATTCAAAGTAATCGGTTTGGTAATTTCGAATATTATCCAGTAACATATTTCCAACCAACAATCAACAGAGAATCGATAGAGGGAAACAGGGAACCTCCATTTTCGTGTTTTACGAGCTGTAAAACGCCAAGAAACCATATGTATGCACTGCACTATCTGAAAGTTAGCGGGGAATCACACTTAAATTGAAACGGGCTATAACTATATTCTATACTATCTATTTAATATAGATGGGATATTCCTATTTTATTTAGATTGCATTATAGATATGCAATACCTACTCAAAAATTCCAAAAAGTCATCACAAGTTCCTATGCATACACTTCTGATCGTCTATTAAAAATGAATCACCTCAAAAATGCTTATCAGATACTCTGTGATTATTAGTACGATAACCTAAAAAAAGTGGTTCTGATGATGACCGTTGTCGATTGTTAGGCCGACCATGCACGCTTCCACCGACGTCCGTCGACCACAGATAGCACCGAAACATGCCTTATCGCTTGCCATATTTTCTCGCCAGTACAAACACACGACGAGGCGTCCCCGAGAAAATTACACCGCACTGAATTATGTGCTCAGGACGTTGTTCCAGCCCGGGGTAGTAATTCAACTGCTTCGGACGGGCGACGTTTATTAACGGGGCGCGAACCCTCCACCGGTGAGTTTTTATTGCAGCCCGTTATTAACGCCAATTATAGTCCTGCTAACATCCACGACCCGGCTATGATAGATGGCGGAACGAAAAATAGACTCCCGAAAGAAAAATACTCCACTTACCTCGAATTGTTTACGCTCAAGTTTTTTAATTGTTCTTCTAATTTTGAAATGCGGTCGTTGTTGCGGTTCTTCTCACTCACTAGGTGTAGGTGATTCTGAAAAGAATAAAATTGGAATTAGGGTTTGATGTAGGTTTTCAACAAATCTTAGATGTGGACTACAAAAATAAGGGTTGAATTATATGTATCATGACAATATGTGATGAAAAGTATAGTAACCCCCATCTTCACGTACCTAAATGTAAGATCTAAAGAGCTGTGAATCGTTAGATTATCTTAGCTTGTGATATGTGGCAATACTGAGCTCTCAACATCAGCGCATATGAGCTTTAATTCAACTTGTCACATAATCAATATGAAAAGCCCACTTTTGTGTTTTATTTTTTAATGTATAGTATTACAAACAATGTGTATTTTATATTTGTAATTTCATCATAAAGTTCAGTAAATAGCCCTACAAGTTCCCAAAATTGGTATTCAACGTTCGAATTGTAATAATATACATTAAACTTAAACAAATAACATGTAATACCAATTGAATTTCCTTGTTGTATTTGCAAGCGTTTAAGAATTATATTACGCACCCGCTTTAAATTTTAAATATGTACTCCAACAAAAAAAATCAAGGGGCGATAAATCTGGCCAACTATCCGACCATTCAAACAGTCCGCGTCGCTCTATCCATCTTCTCTCGAAAATGTTGCCAAGAAACTCTCACTTCCACGCCAAAATGGGAACATGACCAATCTTATTGGAAGCAAATTCCGTAATCATCATCTTCAATAGTTTGAATTGTGTCATTTGTTTCCAATGAAAATCGAATTTTTGTTTTTCCAATAAATTAATGGTAATAAGATTTGTTCTAAAAGAAATCCAACAAATGCCGCTTCTTTGAAAAATTATAAAATTAGATTAAGCGATGTTTGTTTTGTGATAACTTCTGTAGAAACCAGTTGCATAAATAGCACCATCTCAACCCCTGTGCCGTGGGGGCGTAAATTCCAAGGGGACGGACAATGTAAAATATATTTACAGCAAACGACCTACGAGAAAAAATGGCCTCTCAGCAATTTTATTATTTCTATGTCTCCAACAGGCCGGAGGCCCAATTACAGGAAACATGACATACACAACACCCAGAGGTAGGGCGGGAATCGAACCCACGACCCAAGGTGTAGCGTGCAAGCATGAAAATAACTAACCCACCCGACTTCTCAAATAATAATAGCACATGCTTAACTTCAAGTGTTTGTGTTTATGTTTATACATCGGAAGAATGTCATGTAGAGTTTTTATGAACTATTTTGTATGACCTTTTAACTAATAAAAAGATCTATCAGAATGCGAAAAAAAGATGGCGTTGTCATTTAAAGGAATCGTTGACGACGCCACTGCGCAAACAGCAAACAGCTGGTTACAAAAAATGTTATACTCAAAAAAATAGTCGAAAATTATTTCGACAGGATTTCCCTCGTCCTTGAAGTACTGCATCCCAACAAGTCCCGCTTCTTCGAAGAATTAATTTTATTTTTCTAACTTTTATTTATGTTAACATCTATACATTAAAACAAATATAATAGATAAGTAATACTGTCCTCTAATTTTTTTCTGTTTGTCTACGACATCCATTTTTTTTTTAATCACACTATATATTTTTACTTCTCGAACGTAAGGTAAGGAAGTATATATTAATAATCGAGTTCATCGGATGAATGGCCACTTTTATATTTTCTTGACATTTCATGACCCCGAGAGTCCAAAAAAAGTAGTCTCCCGTTTCCGTCTGTCTATCTGTCTGGTGTTTGTATCCATTTTTATTAGACACGTAATCTCCGAAACTACTGAATAGATTGTTGTCAAATTTTGTATATATATTAGAAATATCATGTAGATGGTTAAGTGCTAACCAAAATTTTATTAATCATCCCCACCAACAATTTGATGACGTCATTTTCCATGTTTATTTGATTTAACTGTTATACAACACTATAGTCCTATAAGTGTGGCGTACGAATCCGATTTGAGTTTATCCTCAACCGTCCAAATTTTTGCAAAAACATTATGCACGACGACGTTGCGAGTCAGGATTGCGGACCGGACGTAGCGCGTTTTTTATTGATGAAATTACCCCACTTTCTCGAAAAGTGAGAATACACTCCTCTTTATTTAAAAATATAAAACCTTCCCGAACGCCCTCCTTGAAACCTTTCCGGGGCTCTCAACTGTCTTTTTTAAAAATGTAAAACCTTCTCGGGGGCGTCAAATGTCTTTTTTTTAATGTGAAACTTTCTCGTGAGTCCCAACTGTATTTTTTTTTATCTAAAACCAAACGTCTTTTTTTGAATGTGGAACCTTCTAGGGAGTCCCAACTGTATTTTTTTTAATGTAAAACCTTCTCGGGGGCCCCAAATGTTTTTTTTTTATTTTTTTGGAGAACATGAAACCTTCTCGGGGGTCACAACTGTCTTTTTTTAAGAATGTGAAACCTTCCCGGGAGCCTCATATATCTATTTTTTTAAAGAATGTGAAACCTTCTCGGGGGTCCCAACTGTCCTTTTTTTAAAGAAGGCGAAACCTTCTCGGGGGCCCCAAGTGTCTTTTTTAAGGATATTAAATCTTCTCGGGGCTCCCAACTGTCTTTTTTAAAGAAGGTGAAATTCTTTTTTTCTATTACACTGTGACTAGTACCTTCTATATTGTTTTTACTCCGTGGATGTTATCACGAAAAAGTAAAATTCCGCAAAATCAAACTTTATAATAATTTTTCAGAAAACTAGTTTGACTCTACTTCAGAAAAAAAGGAAATTCTGTCGAAATAACTTTCGACCAATTTTTTTCAAATTCATGTAGACCTTGTTTTTCTAAATTTAATAATGTTTTATACTTTAATCACCCATTCCTCGCCACTGTCGTATTATGTTACGAAAACACACTCATCTATATGTGGTCAGGAGTGGCCATGATAGGAAACTGATTAACAATTGATCCAAAAATACGAATGCATTGATAAAGGTAAAGGCTTTCCCTGTTAGTCAGTTTTCCTATTTGAGAATGTTTCGATCAACATTATTTCAGCAAGGACACGTCTGTCAATTTCGACACGTGCAGTGCAGTACTATTAATAAAACACTGAGGTGGACCGTTGTTGAGATTTGCTCAATTCAAAATTTAATAGATAATAGCAATAATAGCATAAATAAACAAAAAACCACATGCAACATTCAAACTGTACAATTTCCACTTTTTGCGAAAATTTTGACGTTTCGGGGAAATTCTGCAAACGAATTCATAAACTAAACAACGAGTACACGATGGGTGTTATTTCATAAAATTTAAATCCTACTTTGAAAAATTTTGAGGAAATATTGGTGGTTGAGGTGAGTAGGCAAATTTTGATTCGTGTTTTACCATCTACATGATATTTCTAATATACATAAAAAATTTGGTAGCAATCCGTCCAGTCGTTTCGGAGATTACCTGTTTAATAAAAATATACACAAAGGGACATATAGATAAACAGACGGACAGACAGACAACAGACAGATGAAAACCGAAGACTACTTTTTTCGTAATCTAAGGGTATGAAACGTCAAGAAAAGAAAACGGAAAACTGGCAAGTCGCCCGAAAATATACATAATAGAATGTATTCACCACCTATGGTTAACTTTGATATTAACTTACAAAAGTAACCAGGTGTTAAACTCGTTTCCTTAGCAATGGGTTCGTGTTGGTTCCGTCACGAAGATTTAAATTAAGGTTAACAGAAAAGCTAGTTTTGTTAATAACTACGTATATTTTAACCTACCACAATTTGATTAAAAACATTACCACAATTAAGAAATTTTTAACATTTTTTAAACCTAGAGAGAAAAACCAAGATTTGCTCACATTTTTGTTTTTACCCCATAACAAAGCGTTTCTGAGTTGTGCCTTTAACGTACTTCTAAAACTAAAATAATGACAGTCTTGTGCAAAAAATAATTGTTAACAGGAGGATTCAAACTTACTACAAAAACCTGAATAAGTTAAGATGAAACTTTCTTTCAGATACACATTAAAAATATTTCGGAACCAAAAAACTTAAACTATAAATGAACAGTCAAAGACGCTAAATATCTATATTTAAATTATTTAAACATTACAGTGACAGTCAGTAACAACGAATAATAAAAACTCCACTATACTTATACTAACATTTCCAAACTAAAACAACCTACACAACAATTTACGACAAAAACAATAATTACATTCCCAACTGTTTGTACAAAGTTGGTACATAATCATCCCATTCTGCTTGATAAAAATTCGCTGAGATCGGTTCACCCAAATTATACTTTTGTGCAAACCCTTTAATAGAAAATTTACCACGACCATCTCCAGAATTATTTGGTATTTTTTTCTCTGAACAAGTAATCTTTCCAGGTTGTTTATAGACAATAATAACATAACGATGCAACCCAGTGTCTTTCGGAGGACCTGAACCAACATAGTCCGAAATAACGTCCCCTTTATCAATGTTGTTTCCAGGAATGTTTACGACCAGCCAATGATGCCATTCCCGAAACTTTGGAGTTTTTCTGCTAGGAGCATCTGGATCGGTCATGCATAACGTGTAAAATGCATCATTTTCCGCATCCCATTTGACAGTGGGTGGGTTCTTCACTTGAGTAGGAGTTAATTTATTTCCAAGCTGAACTTTCACACCTTTGTCGTACGTAACTTCGGCCACATGTTTTGGAACAATATCGAGAACGTCAGGAACCACTCCATGCTTTTCCATCTTGTAAATTATTTACGAAAAGTTCTACAGGCTTTTATGCGGAAAACTTGTTTGACAGCGTAACCATAGTAACCGAATCATTACTTGGTGAAATATTTACCAAATAAACTGATTTGTTGATTTATTACCAACCACTGATAAATGAACAATACCGACGTCATAAAAAAATTATATTGTCATAATTTTTTTACCACATTAGTGAAATTAGATGTTATTAATTTGGAGACGTACGATAAAAATAGACCAGTGACTTGATTTAAGATTAAATGCACTCCGATGCATCAGAAGTGAATCAAACTTTCAGATTATTTTCGTAGCACAATCATGCCCGTTATTGATTTTATTAAGATTTCCCAGGCCGAGAGTACGTGGACAGCACTCTGTCAATATTTACCCGGAGAAGTAGATGTTCTCATCAACTATAGTGGATGGATGGAAGGATGGATGGTCGCTTAGATGGCCGTATCGAATTTCTGAGCACGAATGTTGAATCCAAAAACAAAAAATAATACAGGTATGAACAACGCACACAAATACGATATTTCCTTTTGTTTGAAGAAAAGTTGATCCAATTTTAGTTCAACCAATAGCGCTGCACGTTCCTTCGGTTTGACCGCTTAATTGCCCTAATGGGCTGAATAATAATCCTGGATGGGCGCGAATGGTTAACCCCTCGGATTGCGAGTGGAGCCTCCATTAGGGCAATCTTGTTGTTTGCGTAGCCATGCCACCACAGCCCGTATCGAATGTCAGTGGAGGAGTGTACTGTCGTCATCACTCTGTCGTCGTATGACACTTGCTCTAATGACGTGTCGTCATGGTTGATTGTAATTAACGATTTTTATTTAATTTTAGAAAAAATAAGTTATCGATTACCACAGGATTAGGTAAGATTAAAACTCGCATCTTGTTAAATATTTCAAGAAATAAAGGATCAAAACTAATTCACCGTTCTTCTATTGTTTTCGGACAAAACCTAATGAGGAGTCTTCTAAATAAATGATCACTCGGTGCACTGACTCACTCAAACACATTATTATCCCCTCAACACCGAAAAATTCAAGACAGTATTGACGCGTGCTTCTTCTCAGACTGAAGTACAAGTTACTCGAGGATCTTACGCTGCACAGTTAAGTTTTCCGTAATAATATTTTTAGATGACGAAATCAGTTTTTTAAGAGGAATTAATCGTCAAATTTTGATTAATTAAGATGTTGCCATCTTCATCATATCTCAATGTATAAATAAAATTTCGAAAAATCTGTGCGACATCAATTCGCAAAATTATTTACACTAGGTTATAGGTGACACATACCAAAATTTAAATGGAAAACGCACATTCTAGTATTCTATGGGTTGTGAATTTCAGTTAAGAGGAGTCTTCAGGTTTTGCGCTTACGGATTGTCAATACATTTTCAGAATATAATATCTCCGTAATAATGGTTTGTTAAAACGAACTTATTATTATGAAATTTTAAATATAACATGTCCACACCTTTTACTAGATAACGCGGGGTCAGTTTTTTTTAAACCGTTTACTATCATCTTTTTTTAACTTGGTGAAATTTTTACATCACGTATTTTTAAAAATCAAAATCTCAATTAATAATGGAAATTTTGGAACGCGATTTTCACCACTGTTTTCAGTTCATAAAACTCAAACTTTAAAAATCAAGATCTCAATTGTTAATGGAAATTTTAGAACGTGGTTTATACCATTATTTTCAGTTTATAATATTCTATAAATTTCATGGAAAACATTGCCAACTTTTTTTGTAGGAAATGAGATACATACATTGAAAGAGTTTGTGTCGAAGAATCTTCTATTCCCTCTCATCTTTCATATCTTATTCCCGACAAAAAAAGTCTACAATGTTTTCCATGAAATTTATAGAATATTATAAACTGAAAATAATGGTGTAAACCACGTTCTAAAATTTCCATTAACAAATGAGATCTTGACTTTTAAAGATACGTAAAAATTAACCAAATTAAAAAACAAGATGATTGTACGTAAGTAAACTTTAAACAACAAACTGTCCCCCGCGTTACACCGGGTGTCTGAGAAATGGCGGATTAACTCTTCAGTACGGGTGTTTAGGGAGCACCAAAAAAATAATAAAAAAAATCTTTATGATGTAGATTAGTTTCTGATTTCATAGTAACGATGGTGACTGAATTACACCTCCTATTTTTTTTTAGAACAATAACAATAACAACCAGAAAACATTTAATAAGACATTTATAAATTATAAACAAAAACAAAACCAACAAAAAAAATCCATTAAAGCACAACCAACTAAACACTAGAGAAGGTGTTCAAAATTCCTGCCTTGTGCATATAAGTAAGCTCGTGATGTTTCCAAATTTTGATAATTTTTTGTAAAAGTTAGTACTAAGATAAGACTGATTTTGGTTAATGAGATACCCTCTACAAAAAGAAAGGGTGGGTGGGCGGGGCTAGTACCTGCTAAGATAAGCTGATTTTGGCAAATGAGATACCCTCAAAAAAAAGAGAGGGTGGGTGGGCGGGGCTAGTACTTGCTAAGATAAAACTGATTTTGGCAAATGACATACCCTCTAAGAAAAGCGAGAAAGGGTGGGTGGGGTTAGTACTTGTTAAGACCGATTTTGGCAAATAACACTCTATAGTTTAGTTAAAATTTTATTGACAATAACGAGTAACAATGGTAAGAAATATTTATGGTTCACACCAGTTCAACCCGAATTTGTCGGAGAACATTTACAAGGTAGTTATACTCGTAAAGTAATAATCATTTTCGTTCGTGAGTAACGATGATCCCTGTTCGGACCTGGATTATTCTGCTTTTTAACATCTGCAGATTACCGCTACGCGACAGCTTTAAGTTGTAAATATTTCTTGCTATTGTACTACTTACTGTCCGTCTCGTTATTGTCAATAAAATTTTATAGGGTATAGCTGCTTTCAAAATAAGAGAGTAAAACTACCTGGAAAACTGACTCGACTTTTAGGGTTTTCCAACCCTAAGCGGTAGGTGGGCCATAAAATCGCTTTCGGATGAAGACAAAGAGCGCTGTCTCTCAAACTTGGAATAACAGAACCGGACTTACTGTATTTCTGTAATCCATTATACCTGGTACAACCTGTCGATCATTGCAGGGTCAAAGTCAAGTCAGTTTTCCAGGTAGTTTTACTCTCTTATTTTGAAAGCAGCTATACAACGATATTTAGTAAACTATGCTAAGCAAAAAGAGGGTGGATGGGGGGGGGGGGGCAATACCTGCTAAGATAAGGGTGATTTTGACAAATGAGATACCCTCTAAAAAGAGAGGGCCGGTGGGCGGGACCAGTGCCTACTAAGATAACACGGATTTTAGCAAATGACGTATGTATCCTCAAAGAAATTCAATTAAATTATTATAAGAAAAGACACTAGAGGCTCCAGAGCACTTTCAAATTCTTTCCACACAGGAATACCTGGAACCTCAAGATTGTTTTCAATTTTTCAAAAAAAAAACGAGGTCCCAAAATAAACACAAAAACAGGTCGGGTCAGAATTTTCTAAAAATAAAACACCAAAGTCCCCCAAAATTGTTTTAAATAATTTACAAAAAAAATCTTCATGGAGTCCCAAAATAATACACCATGGGTACCTAAGGGTCTCGCGAATTAAAAAAAAAACACTGCGGCACTCAAGACTTTCAAATTCGTAAAAATAAAACACTAACAGCTCAAAAGATTTTTTCAAGTTCATCCAGCAACAAAACACCAAATTCCTTTAAATTTATCCGAAATTAAAACACCAGGGGACCTAAAATTAATTTCGAACATTTTAAACGTAGGGTTTTGAAAACTTCCAGACACCCAGTATAGTGAAAGGTTTGGACATGTTATATTTGAAATTTCACAACAATAAGTTTGTTAATAACGGAGATATTCTGAAAAATGTATTGACAATGTATAATAGTGTCAAACGTGAGGACTCCTCTTAATGTGCCGCATCCGAGTCATTTTTACTGCAATGACAAAGACCATTATCAAATACCTCTTCATTTCAAAAATTATTCTAAACCATACTCTACAACTTCAAAATCTTCAGTAACAAAAAAACCTCGCATGTTGAAAGTTTCAATAAACTTATGTGCAAGTAGCAAAGTTTTTTTTGGTAAAAATTTAAAAACTAGTATAGTAAAAGCAGAGAACATAGAGAAGCGACATAGAGGCTGATTTTGCAAAACCACCCTTATGGACATTGGAGTCCTCAACCGCCAAAGACAAGCGCCAAATTTAAATAGTCGATGCCAATAAAAACCTTGCTTCACTATAATATTGTAATTCGTGTGACCTGAATGAAAGTGAAGGAAACAGTAAGCAACTTGTAATATTCTGGTAAATCTAGTGTCAATTTGTCGAAAATAAAACGTGTCATTAAAAATATTATGACATTTCTTCTAGTTACTTATATTCCTAGTTAGAAACAAACACTGCTACCAACATAAATTGAGAAGTCCTCAACCGTCATTTGAAACTATAGCGCTTCTCTATGTTCTCTGGTAAAAGTTACATTGTTATAATCAGCAGTGTTTAGTTTTATTGCAGTTAAAAAACGAAGACACAATTGTGAATAGTTTTTGAAATATGACGTCATAAAAAACGAAAAATCACAATTTTAAAATTATGAAAAATAATTCGACTTACTATGAAATTTTAATATATAAAAATCAAATTTTAACACTAACAGAAGTCCAATGGCAAAAACTTTATGATAATTTGTAAGACTCACGTACCAACTTCTTCATAAATCAGTAGATTTTTGATAACTGACAACACCGCCGCGATTGTACTCAGTAAATGTTAAAGTCACTTTAATTAAAAAGTAATTTCAAGTTTTGTTGCAGCAATGCAACAACTCACTTAACTAAATTTTAAAGGACATTTAAATTAAACATAATTGGTTTTTAGAGGTAATAAAAAAAAAACAAGACGGCGGTGATTTCTTCATTACACATGTTAAATAATTACTATTCTATTAGCTTTTAAACCCGTAATTTCCCAAATTATCTTGAAAAAATTATCAAGTTTGATATTTGATTTCTAAAATTTCAAATATCTCCATTACTCTTAAATCAGTTTCATAGGAAACTTACAGGTTATGGTTTTTTAATTTTGAAATAAGAAAATGCTTTGACACAAGCATATTTTGCTAAAATT